GGGTGGGCCCAGTGTAACCACAGGATCTTTATAAGAGGGTGGGAAGAGGGTCACAAACAGAAGAAAAGATATGATGAGGGAAGCAGAGGTTGGAGTGATGCAGCCTCAAACCAGAGGATTCAAGCAGATTCTAGAAGGTGGAAAAGATGAAACAGATTCTCCCCTACAGTCTCCAGAGGGAACCAGCCCTCATGGTGATGACACCTTGAGTTTAGCCCCATAAGACTCATTTCAGACTTCTGACATCCAGAACTATGAGATAACGTGGGTGATTTTAAGTCACTAAATTTGTGGTAACCTGTTATAGCAGCGATGGGAAACTAATGCATTTGGAAAAGGAGGAAAAATCAAATTTGTACTAATATAGAGCGTATACACAAGTTGGTCCTGAGTGGGAAGTTCAGAGGCCTACATTCTAGTCCCAACCTTAGGAAGTCACCTCTTTTTTTTTTTTTTTTTTTCCTTTTGAGACGGAGTCTCGCCCTGTCGCCCAGGCTGGAGTGCAGTGGTGCGATCTGGGCTCACTGCAAGCTCCGCCTCCCGGGTTCACGCCACTCTCCTGCCTCAGCCTCCCGAGTAGCTGGAACTACAGGCACCTGCCACCACACCCGGATAATTTTTTTGTATTTTTAGTAGAGACAGGGTTTCACTGTGTTAGTCAGGATGGTCTCGATCTCCTGACCTCGTGATCCGCCCGCCTCAGCCTCCCAAAGTGCTGGAATTAGACGAGTGAGCCACCACCCCCAGCCGGAAGTCACTTCTTTAGAGCTCCTTTTCTTCATCACTAAGGTTCCCTTCTTGCTCTGAAGTTCTGTTCCTCCTTAAGCATTTGTTTACCATCATTAGATATGTCATTGTTATGGCCCTGGTAAGTATGGGTGAGGCTGCTGAGTAGATTTTAGTTTCTTTGTTTTGAAAGCTGGTTACACTGTTGTTAGCATTTTCCTTTTTGGGGTGGGTGCTTGGGTGAGTAGTGTGTTCTCATATGGGGGATTCTGAAACATTTCAGAGGGTATTGTGGAGGCAAACACAGAGGTTAGAAGCCATCAGAACCAAAACAAATTGGCAGGTGGAGGCCTCACAGAGTCTTCCATAGTGGTCCTAGGTCCTTCTGCAAAGAGGTCCTAAAAGATTCCTCCTACCCAGACTCCTATGCTAAAATCACTGCAAAAGTTTGCACATACAGAATGAGAAGTTTGAAGCTATAGTGTCATGTCAAGGCCATGCAGAGGAACAGCCCAGGTTTCCCCGGTCACTTGTCCTGAAGGGAAGGTGAGCCTCCTGAGTCTCCTCACATGCTCTCTGGCCCACAGAAAGCCACAGTCAGTGCTACTAAAGGAAACTGAAATGTGAATGCTGAGAGTTACTGCTTGATACTACAGGGTATATGGCATGTTTAATAATTCGGTACGTGGAGCATTTGGGTTTTATCATGTACATTCTTTCATCTATATGTAAGTACAGGAACCATAATCAATATTCATTACCATTTGAGATTGAATATATGAAAGATAAATATATACATGTGGTGTTCATATTTGTATATGTGCCTATAGGGAATGAGGGCTACATTTTAAAATTTTTAAGTGAGAATGAGTTTTAAAATCAGAATGAATTAATCTTATAAGCATTGGATACAAATTGCTATAGAATTTAGCATTCTAACTAAATGCAGTTATTTTTTTATCAGGGAGTAACATGAAAGGCACCTCTGTTTTTTAGAGCACATTTGAAGCACAATTGGTGATTAAGAAACATGTAAAAGGGTCGTAGTTATGACATGTTAACCCAGCATTTGGAAAGGTTGTGAAATGGAACCTGGATTTTGAAGTTAAAGATGAGAATATGGAAAACCCCTACTTTACACAAATTCAGTTCAGTAATCAAAAGGGATGTCCAGAAACATCAAGGTGAACAAAGCCTCATACAGTGAGTGAAGAAAACAAAAGCCTGGGCTTGAATCACCAGACAGTCCTGGGGCGCTGGCATGGCCCTGGTGCCAACCAGCAGAACATCCTTAGACAAGTCACCTAACCTCTTGTTTCTGTTTCCTTGTCTATGAAATGGGAAAATAATGCTTGTTTGCCTGGCGATGGTGAGAAATGGGGCATACAGCTACTCATCTTGTCCAAGCTGGACCTCAAGGGACCACAGTCCAGCTGAGAAGATGCCAGGGTCATGCTCGATTGTCCATGATCCAAGCCAGAGCCCATTAATTCCTGCTCTAGAGTCCTCTCCTCTGGGCTCCACCTTCACCAGGTGTGGAGAAGGAAATGGCACATTCAAGTATTTGTTAAGGTGCCATTATAGGCTATGGGATAGCTTCCAACAACATAAGACAAGCTTGCTGTCTCTCCTTCCCTTCCCAACCCCTGGCTGTGTCAGGCCCCAAAATTTTGTCTGTATTCTTGCCTTCCTCCATTTCTTCCCTTCTTGATACTTTTTCCTCTCCCTGTATCACCATAAATTGGAGTGTGGGTACCAACCTCACGCAGGTTTAAGATCCTGTGAACATAAGGCATGATTTGCTCATGGTTTTTCTTTTCTGCAGCATCTAGCCAAGTATTCCTCCACAAGGAAAGAGCTAAGTTAATATTTGGTAAGAAATTAAAAAATGTAGAATTGAAGTTCTCACCTACAAGAAGCTGGAGATGTGCCATTGTGCAGCTCATTTACTGGGTTTTATGCACTCTTACTCCGTGATGTGTGCAGTGCTGGCCTGGGACTTCCCAAGGGATGAGGGCAGGAGACTGACAGAGCCATGGAATCTTGCACAGGGCAGGGAAGCCATATGTGAACCTTTCCTTAGGGGGCCGGAGGACAGCAAAAAGTATCCTTTGCTCATAATGGAAGAGCCCTTTCAAGAATAAAGGCAGTGCCAACAGTCATGTGCATAGGACCCTGTTATGCCACTGTCTCCGGGAAAGGGGCATGGCTGGCTGGGGACAGGGTAAGAGGGAGACTTGACGTTATACACTTTTGTCCTTTTTGAATTTTCTAGAAGATAAAGGGAATGAACATTTTTAAAAACCAAGTTTCGTATAGGCCAGTTCACAATCCAGAGATTCATGGAAGCACAGGTGGGCTTTGGTGGCACCGTCTTGAGTGGAGTGGGCTTTCCTGGCCTGGTGTGGTATGGATGACTTCTGAATCATACCAAGCTGAAAACTTTGGTTTGGGCTGGGAAGGTTTTGTGTCCCCCACGCTTTACTGAACTGAAAGCCACTGGTCCTGGCCAACCTCCCCACACCTTATTGTTGCCCTGCCTCAACATGGGTTTGTCCTGGGAGACCCCATTCCATCCCCATCCCTGACACTACATACCTGGCTGCTGAATAACCTGAAGGAAGCACCATCCCGAACCTCCACTCATTGTCCTCAGACCCAATCTCAGCAAACTTGCTGGGTTTCTGGTGGGGCCGTAGGAGCTTACAGTGCCTTCGTAATAGGAGTTCAATTACAAGTGGATGGGTAGGTGGGTGGGTGAACTCTGTGCTGCCTCTGGGCTTGGACTACAGAATGCTGTCAGTTTTTCTGTGGTCAGTTCCCCCACAATTGGTGATTAAGCACAATTGGTGATTAAGAAACATGTAAAAGGGTCGTAGTTATGACATGTTAACCCAACATGTCATATCCTATATAAAACCTGATCTGATTGGGGAAACCTGAACCAAGAGCCATTTTCTATTTTCCTGAGTAAATTTTATGAATGGCTTGAATTGAATGGAAAGGCACTAATTGGTCCACACACATATCTACATTTCATGTTTTGTAAGTGGACTCCAGGACCAGATAAACAAAAAAAGACACGGGAAGCACCATAAGCTGAGACTTGTCTTTGGAGCTGACATCCTGCCTAGGTGACTGGAACGTTAGGGCAGATGTCTTTTCATAACTCACCTATGAGTTGAAAGCAAAATAAGGCAGGAAGTTAGAGAGAGACCAATTCATACCCCCTTGATTATTTACTCAACATGATGCTGAAAGACATTTGTGTTTTTTGGAAGTTCTATCCCCTGGCAGTGAAACAAAACCTCCTTTCTAAGCGGGAAGATTGATGTCCAACTGCATTAAAGGAGTGTGTGAGTAAAAGGAAACTCTGTATTCTACAAGTGAACACAAGAACTTCCACTGTGCTTATGTAACTGTAGTGCAAAGCGCATTATCAGACTGAAATTTCCAGTGCTAAAGGAAAATTGTGCTAAGGCTGAAGCATAAAAATATTCCCATTTGCCATAATTTGAAAATTACTATATGAGGAGGTTTTGTTTTAATTAGTCACAAGGTGGAAAGAAGATGGGGGAGAGAATATGTTACCTTTTACCTTCTCTGAACAGTGCAATTCATTGTTTTTCTCAAGTACATCATTTATTGACACTATATGGTAAAGACATCAGATTGGTGGTTATATGTTCAATTTATTTTCAATAAATTTTGCTATAGTTGTTTATAAACTTTCTATGATTCTATTTATAGTCCAGGAAGGGATTTCTCATTCTTTCTTTTAATCTATTTATATGTATACTAGACCAGTGGTTCTCAAACTTTGCTATATATTAGAATCACCTGAAGAGTTTTTAAAAACCCCATTGTCCTGGCTGCACCCCATCACAATTAAATCATTATCTCTGGGTGCGGGGGTGGGCCCTGGCATGGGTACTTTTCCAAAGTGATTGCAATGCACGTGGAAGATTGACAGGCAGTAAACCAGAGCCACATATCTCAGCCTACAATGTGTGGAAGACTCTCCTGGGGGCCTGGTTAAAATGCAAATTCAGATTCAGCGGCTCAGGGGTGACATCTACACTCTGCATTTCTAACAAGTTCCCAGGTAGCACCAGTGCCACTCGTCTGTGGACCACACTTTGAGCAGCAAGATCCTAGACTATAAAAGAGAACATATAGCTAGACCCTAGATTGTAGACACAGTGAATATAAAATGCCACACAGGTTCTCACTTGTCCCTTGACTGCTTTGTAAACAAACAGCAAAGCACCACAGCCTTTATCCTCCTTTTCCTGTGAGGACTTTTGTTTATTTGTAAGCACCGAAGGAAAAAGCCCCTCTCTCCGACATTGTCTGATGGTTTTCTTGTCCCTGAGCACATCAGTGACCCCTGAGTTGGAGACTGGGGTGCCCCCGCCTTGAATGGGTGGCAACCGTGTGATTCTCTGCCAAGCAGCTCACCGTTGTGGGAACATTCTCCAAGCAGCCCAGAACATCCTGGTCTCGTGCTTCGTCTGGTGTTGAGGAGAGATTTTAGTAAACACTGCGTGGGAAGAGGAATGAAATAGGGAGAGAATGAGGCTAAGGAATGGGTGTGTGAAACGCCAGGTTGAGCGAAGCCAGGGTACCTCTGAGCAGCATTCCAACGCCCACCTTTCTCTAACAGCTGGTGGGAGAAGGCGCTCACCTGCCCAGGGAGCCTCTGCCTGTGGCACAGAGCCAGGCACCCTCTCCCCAGGAGCAGACAGGCAGCACAGGGCACCAGGATGCCTGTGCCCACAAGTGCCTACAGAGGCCCTGCCTCCCTGGTGTGGCTGTGGGTACATGGTCTGTCTGAGCCTCACTCTGGGGCCTAGAACAAGGGAGCAGCTCCTGCCCATGCCTCTCACACCCAGCCCTTCACTAAAAGTCTCCTTCCATGTACCAGGAAAGATCATCTTACTCTGTACCTCCCAAGACTTCTCAGATCCTGGGAGGGTCTAAGTCAAGGCCAAGATCCCTGAGTCAATTTAACTGGAGACTTTGATCATCCTTTGAACCAAGAAAATCTTAGGACTAGGCCCTCTGTGTTTCGAGTGGATGGACTCTGTAGAACTGCCACCCCAGAAGGCGCTCAAAGAAGCATAAAAACTTACTCAAGCTCCATTTTCCTACATTGCTACTCTGTAGTCAAGAGTGTACCTTGGCTGCGTGTGGTGGCTCACGCCTGTAATCCCAGCACTTTGGGAGGCTGAGGCAGGCGGATCACTAGGTCAGGAGTTCTAGACCAGCCTGACCGACATGGTGACACCCCATCTCCAAGAAAAGTACAAAAACCATCCCAGCTACTCAGGAGGCTGAGGCAGGACAATGGCATGAACCCGGGAGGCAGAGCTTGCAGTGAGCCGAGATCACGCCACTGCACTCCAGCCTGGATCACAGAGCGAGACTCCATCTAAATTAAAAAAAAAACTACTTTGATTCCTACTTTCCAGTCACATTGGATCTCATCTACCACCCCAACGCCCCCACCACCCTGCCTCTGCATCTCTGCGCACACGTTCTACACTGGAAAACTGACTCCATATATTTGCTGTGCCTTTCCAGATCCCACATTCAAACTCACTGTCTCCAAGTTTTCTCACATTAAACTGGCTGCATTTCAACAATCAACCTTTATTCCTTTAGCACCTAATCATTCCATTAACAATGGATGTAACATTTAATTCCCATAGGGCTCCTCAAGGACTCTCCCATCCTCTGTCTCTTTTTTGATAGAATCAGAATTTTAATCTAAAAGGAATCTTGGCTGTGTAAACCAAATCCTTTGTTTTACAGAGGAGGAAACTGAGACCCAGGGATGGGAAGGACTTGGCCAAAGTCATCTAGAGTGAGTGTGACAGAGCTACTACTGGGGCCCGTGCTACTGACTCGGAATCTTTTGTGCCATCTTTCCAGCCCTGGCACACCCTTCCAGTCTCCAAAGTATTATAGCAGGGCTTGGTGGCTGGAGGCCTTTTCTTTTTCTGTCAGGGACGGTTAAAAGTAAGCTAAGGGTGTTACAGAGAAATAATAAATCCAGCAGTGGTGGTTGTATGCAGAACTTCCATGGAACTTTACTGCAGGGTGCACCACAGAAATGTGAATAAATGGAGAAGCGTAGCACATTGGTGACTAGGAAAACTCCTTGTTGTAAATGGGTCAGTTATCTCTAACTTAATGTATAATTATAATGTCAGTCCCGTAAAAGTTTGGATATGGGGAAGAGAACTTACAAATGATTCTAACGGTCATCTGGAAAAACAAACGGGGGAGAATATTCAAAGTGTTTTCAAAAAAATGAGGGGTAGGGACAAGGAAGATGACAAATTTGTACTGCCAGATATTAAACATATTACAAGGTTACAGTAAATGCTTTGGTGCTGGTGCAGAAGTAGAATCTCAGTGGAACTAAGTAGAAAGACTGAAAGAGAGTTCTTAGCCTATGATAAAGGTAACATTTCAAATCAATAAGGAGATGACAAACTGTTCAACAAATGAAGTTAGGTTAATTAGTTGGCTGTTTAGAAAATAATGAAATATTGGCCGGGCGCGTTGGCTCAAGCCTGTAATCCCAGCACTTTGGGAGGCCGAGCCAGGTGGATCACGAGGTCAGGAGATCTAGACCATCCTGGCTAACACGGTGAAACCCCGTCTCTACTAAAAAAATACAAAAAACTAGCCGGGCGAGGTGGCGGGCGCCTGTAGTCCCAGCTACTCAGGAGGCTGAGGCAGGAGAATGGTGTGAACCTGGGAGGCGGAGCTTGCAGTGAGCTGAGATCCGGCCGCTGCACTCCAACCTGGGTGACAGAGCGAGACTCCGTCTCAAAAAAAAAAGAAAGAAAGAAAATAATGAAATACATCTTATGCACTAAAATATATATAGTTTAGAATTAAATAAAATATAAACAATAAAATAATGGAAGGAAGCATAGGTAAATATTTGTATAGTCTTAAGGAAGGGAAGGCCTCTAATAATGTCAGGGTGAATTCTGCATAAACAAAAGGAAGACACAAACCACAAATTATTTGTAACATATATAACAGGATACAGAGTTATTAATATTTTAAAGAGCACTTTCAAATAGATAAGAAAGAATGTATCCCTAGAAAAGTAGGCAATAGATATAAACAGCTAATTAACCAAAGTTGAAATACAAATGTTAATAATCATATAAAAAAAATCTACATCAAGAAATTAAGAAAATGCAATTAACATGAGATTCTTATACATCTCCATGAAATTGACAAAAAGGGAAATGAAAAATATCTAGTATTGGAACAGTTATGAAGAAACACTCATCTCCTCCTCAGGGGAGTGTAAATTGTTACAAATTTCCTGGAATGCAGCTTGACAATGTGTCTCTTTGCCACACTAATTCTACTCTCAGAAAAATAATCATAAATGTGCATGAACAAAGATCTATGTGGAAGGATATTTGGTTTCATATAATACTTCATAATATTATATGAGATATTGGGAAGCTATCACAATGCCCAATAAGAGGAGATTGGCTAAATAGTATATATTAGATGAAAACTTCAGCCATCAAAGATTACCACGTCCAGACTGAGCATCCCTAATCCCAAAAGCTGAAATCTAAAATGCTCCAAAATCTGAACCTCTTTGAGCACCCACATGACACCACAAATGGAAAATTCTACACCTGACCTCATGTGGTCACAGTCAGAATGCAGTTAAAACTTTTGTTTCATGCACAAAGTTATCTACAATGTTGTATAAAATTACCTTCAAGATATGTGTATGAGGTATATATGAAACAAATGAATTTTATGTTTAGAGTTGGGTCCGATCCCCAAGATATCTCATATCTCATATATGTATATGCAAATATTCAAAATTTGAAAAAATCCAAAATCCAAAACACTTCCAATCCCAGGCACTTTGAATCAAGAATACTCAATCTGGGCTGGTCGCGGTGGCTCACGCCTGTAATCCCAGCACTTTGGGAGGCCAAGGCGGGTGGATCACGAGGTCAGGAGATGGAGACCATCCTGGCTAACACAGTGAAACCCTGTCTCTACTAAAAATACAAAAAAAAAAAAAAAGCCAGGCGTGGTAGTAGGTGCCTGTAGTCCCAGCTACTCAGAAGGCTGAGGCAGGAGAATAGCGGGAACTCAGGAGGCGGAGCTTGCAGCAAAACGAGATTGTGCCACTGCACTCCAGCCTGGGCAACAAAGCGAGACTCCATCTCAAAAAAAAAAAAAAAAAGAAGAAGAAGAAGAAGAATACTCAACCTGTAGCATAATACTTAATTGAGTTGGGGAAATGTTCATGAGTAATGAGTAGTATCATTTTATTCCCTGTTGGGCACGCAGGAGAACACAAAATAAAGACAATGTTTATATTCCAAAGTTTTAATAGTGGTTATCTGTGAATGACTTTTGTATGCTTTGAGTTTATCCTTTTTTGTACTTTTCTGTTATCTCAAGTTTTCTCTCTTAAATGTGTATTGCTTTTGCAATTTCAAAAATGATTAAAAACAAGAAATAGGCAGGCATGGTGGCTTATGCCTGTAATTCCAGTACTTCAGGGGGCCATGGCAGGCAGATATCTTGAGTTCAAGAGTTTGATACCAGTCTGGGCAACATACAAAACCTCGTCTCTAAAAAAAACCACAAAAATTAGCCTGATGTGGTAGCGTGCACCTGTAGCCCCAGCTACTTGGGAGGCAGAGGCGGGAGGCTGTGTTTGCCTCACTGCACTCCAGCCTGGGCAACAAAGTGAGACCCTGTCTCAAAAAAAAAAAAAGACAAACAACAACAACAAACAAACAAAAAACACAAGAAATGAATAAAGGCAGGGGGTGCAATTGTAAGGATCTTGTTGGAATTTGTTTAGATGTTTTTGAGAGACAGCTTAGGTGTTTGTGGTTGGGCTCTTGTACAACCAAGAGTATACCTTAGAGGTATTCAGACATGGATGGAAGGAGGCAAAATACCCTGCCTTTGTTCCCTGTACCCTTCATCCCTTAAGGGCCACTGTGGAATAGGTCAGAATATTCATTGTTTCACCATCTAAGTCTACAGAGGTCATTTTTACCACATTGGCTGGAGGCAAAATATAGACCTCCATCTGCAAGAAGAGTGTCATAAGTGGGTAGGTGAGGGAAAAGTCCACTCCAGTGGGCAGTAGAAAGCAATGACTTCCTGATGTAGCAGGCTAGGAAAAATATGTTCAGAGCACTGTAATTAAGATATATACTTCGTGAGCTTTTGCCTTTCAAATACCATCAGCTTGGCACTTGGGAGTATAGAAGAGTCCTCAGTTCCAGGAGGAGGCAATATGATTGTGAATTGTGACTTCCTGCTGCAGGATACAGTGTTGTCCCTGATGTAGCAAATTAGTAAGTATCTGGTTTCTCTTGACTGTTCATCTGAGACTTGATGGAGAAGGGCCAATACAGCCAGCCACCAGAGTGGAGTGTTTGCCTGCATAAATGCAATATATGAATATAATTTCAGCTATAATGTCTTTGTAGCATACAAAGACATGGAAATAAGTAAGTACATGTTTGGCAAAAGAGCCACTAGGCTGATCAGTGTGTCCCTAAGCTGAAATTGCGGGGAGAGAAAAAAGACTCAAAATGATCAAGCCAGATGCTGTGGGAAGGGTAGCAGGGGTGGTTTGAAAACTAAGCAGTGCTCGGTTCCTTTGGATTGATTCTCAGTCCTCAGAGGTGATACTGGATTTATTTTTTAATTTCATAAAACATTAAAAGGGACTGTGCCAGCACTTTGGGAGGCCGAGGCAGGTGGATCATGAGGTCAGGATTTCAAGACCAGCCTGGCCAAGATGGTGAAACCCCATCTCTATTAAAAATACAAAAATGTGGTGGGCATCTGTAATCCCAGCTACTCAGGAGGCTAAGGCAGAAGAATAGCTTGAACCCAGGAGGCGGAGGTTGCAGTGAGCCAAGATCACGCCACTGCACTCTAGCCTGAGTGACAGAGCAAAACTCTGTCTCAGAAAAAAAAAAGTGGCGGGGTGGGGGGACTATGAAGGTAGGTGCATCAATTTAGGATGGGTGAGCTTGAGTGAAGAAGGAAGAGTAGTAAGGCTACAGAACACGGTATTGCTATAAACAAGACTTACTACCTTGGGTAACTACAGACTTACAGCTCACTTTGGGGGCAGTGAATAGGTGAAACTTGACATTTTAATTCAGTTTCTGCCTGTGGGCTTGTTGAGGAAATGTTTTTGGAAAACTGAAGTAAATCAATGGTTGCAATGAGTTGAATGGGTGATTCCATGATCCTGTGGGCACTGGAGAGTTGGTGACAAGGAACAGCATAATAAAAGGTCAGTGGAAGAACAGACCTTGTTCCAAATACATCAGCTAGGGTTCTTTGGTTGCAGCAATCAATTCCAACTAACTTGAACAAAAGCAACCTTGTTGGAAGGCTGTTGGGAGCACACAGAATCTGTGGGAAAGCTGGAGAACCACCCTTAACAGAACAGAACAGTAACCTAGATGACTCCAGGAAGCCAGGGATCGGGAATGGCAGGTTCTATCTCAGAAGAGAAACTGTGCTCAAAGTGCCGCAGTTATAATGTATGAATTCCACAACATTATCTTTTTGTCTTTCTTATCAAGATTCATATTTTAGGTAGAGAGGATAGAAGGGTGGGTAGCACATCTGATCATGGTGATAAGCCGTGTAAACCTGTAGGGGAAGAGGTAATTCCCTAAAAGAAACCCGAGTGCTATTAGGAAGTAAAGAAATGTTTGCCAGGCAGTCCCAAATAAATAAACGGGCTCAATAATGACATGGACAGTTGCTTCAAGAAGAAAAAAAGAGGATATCAAAAGTTATATCATCATAGATCAATTCTGTGGATAGATGATCTAAGAAATTAATATTGTCTGGATCTTGATGACAAAGTAGTCATAAGGATAGAATGTGGTTCGACAGCAAACTTCAGATGGGTACATTTTCTGGAAATCTCAGCATGCCACAAATTGAACACCTGAAGAATTCTTTACATACCTGTTGGTTATGTATTACTCAGAAGATAAAGAAGACAACAGGGACACCTGCTTCTGTGAATGCAGTCTTGATCAGAAAGGATAACAAATTGGTATCTATATGTGCTACAGCAGTGAGAGAAGGAAACACTAGGTAGAGTTCAATTTCAGGCAATCAGAGTGTCCAAAAATTTGGGGGAAAACCAGATGTGATCCCACAAGCATGATTCTAAAAGGGAATATGGCTGGGCCAGTTGAGAGGCTTATAGAGTTCTGAGTTCGTAGTCAGAGGGTGCATGAGAAAGTGAAGGGGAGAGAGACTGTAAGGAACCCAAATGTGACTGCAGAAGGAATTCTCTGATACATCATCTACTAAGTTATGCAAAACCATCAAAAGAAGGATGTGTCCCAAGAGGTGACAAAGAATAGAATGGAAGGGCACTTTGTTGAGTGAGCAAGCATGTTGGTGCCTCCTAGGTGGCAGGTGTTTATGAAAATGCCAGGAAAACTGAAGGACAGAAAGAACTAGAGTTGTCCACATGGCTATTGGCCACAAACAAAACCAATGGTTTTCTAAAGCTATCTTTGGGAACAGACCGGTAAGAAAAGGAAGGTAGAAAAGGTTAGTGCAGTACCAGGAAAAGACTATTATTGACATAATTTTGTTTTTATATTTTCTGTCAAAAAGAATGAAACAAACACAGTAAATATGAAATAGAAGGTTGAGTGAGTATCCTAGTAAAAGACCCCTAATACCACGGAGGTACTCTTCAAGGGTACAGATGAATTTCACCTCAATGTACTGAGAAACGTAGCAAAAATCACCCATCCCTGTTGGTGATTTTTAAGAAATAGCAGCAAATGTAAAAATTGCTCAGAGAATGAAAAAAGACAAATACATTTCTGACTTTAACGACATAAAAATGCCTGAAGATTGTTTAGAATGTAGATGATAAAACTTGACACTCCCAGGAAAACATGAGATCAATTTATTACAGCAAATAAAGAATGAAAACCTAGGCCCTTGAGTAAATCCATCAAAATGAGTCATAGCAGATTAACTTTACTTCTTTTTTAGTGTTGTAAGACTGATGAGGGAAATGCCACCAGCATAAGGCTGTATAAAAGAATACAAGTTGAGTTCAGCAGGGCACATGACAAAATCAAAGTATTCAGTTGGACAAAATGGAGAAATATGAGTTACAAGAGTTCACAGTTGACTAGTTGGTAAGAAGGAACAATGCCAGTGACCTCTTTAAATGAAGAGATCCCCAAACATACCCGCCATGGGTTCACCTAGGAGCTTTTGGGAAGGGCAGGACATTTTTAACTAGGTCATCTTCAGAAAACATTTGTTGATGTATTCATATTGACCTAGAAGAGGGCCTCCTCGGTGTGCCAGCAGGCTTTATCCTTCTTTCCTGTTGAGAATTTTATGAGCAAATTGAAGGAAGATATGTAAGGCAAAGTTTATCAGATTTAGAGACGACACCGTGCCCAGAATGATAACTGAAGTATTGGATGATAGAATAAAGACTCAGGAAAAAAAAAGTTTTAAGCCAGAACAATGGATCACAGCCAACTAACCAAGTTAAATTGAACAGTGACACATTTATAATAACAGTTAGTATTTGGGTTAAGAGTAATGATTTAATTAGGAAGATATGAGGCCAAATTTGACAGTAGTTTAAGTGGAGAAACAGCCAGAGGCCTTAGTTGACCACAAGCTTATATAATCCAATAGCATTCCAGGACTGCTGGCAAAATTGATGAAGAATTAAGTTCTATCAATGTAGAAATCAGGTCATGGGAGATGGTTTTCCTACTGTACTCTGTTCCTGTAACCCAGAGCTTTAGAGCTAGGACTCTGAGGTCACACTGCCTATTTTTGGATTTCCCTTCTGCCTCTTCCTAGTTCTACATCTTTAGGCAAGGCTTTTAACCTCTCTAAACCTGTATTCCTCATCTGTAAAATGGATAGAATAATAGAACCTATATCACAGGGCTTTTATAAGAATTAGATAGTAATAAGAATTAGATCTTCTTTTATAAGAATTATAAGAATTAGGTATAAAACTCTTAGCACAAAGACCAACATCCAACATATTTGGTAAATGTGTTTTGTTGTTGTTGTTGTCACCATTACTCTATAGTAGATTATTTTAAGAAAGGTACTAAAAATTAAATAAATAAATAAATAAGAATTTTTCCGGAGGCAAGAGGTTTGCAGACTTTCTTCCTTAAAGAATACTTACAGAAACTTGAAGTGTATGTTATTTATTGCTATATGATAAATTAAAATTCAGCAGCTTAAAGCAATAAACATTTATTTTCCCACATGGGGTCTGAGAGGAATTCAGAAGTGGCTTTGCTGGGAAGTTCTGGGTCAGGGTCTCTCATTGTGGTTGCTGTCAAGATGGCAACTGGGGTGCACTGTCATCTGAAGGCTTGAGTGGGGCTGAAGAATGGCTCACTTACTTACAAGCTGTTGGTGGGAGGCCTCTGTCTTTCCATATGGACCTCTCCATTGTGTGTCCCAATGACTTAGCAACTAGCTTCCCGCAGAGTGACCAATACAAGAGAGAGAGAGAGAGAGAGAGTGAGAACAAGGCAGAAGTTACAGTGCTTCTTATGACCTAGTCTCTGAAGTCACATTCCATTCATATTCTATTGGTCACACAGACCAACCCTGAGACAGTATGGGAGGGCATTTCACAAGGCTATGGATACCAGGAGGTAGGGATCATTGGGAGCTATCTTGGAGGCTGGATGACAAGGGGAGTTTAGGACCACAAAGACCCAGAGGTTTGGTGGCTGACTATAGAAATGGAAAGGACTGCTGTATAGAAGAGGGAGACTTATTCTGTGTGGCTTCCAAGGATGGAATTCAAAACAATACACACAGGTTTCTGGAAGGCAGATGTTAGTGTGGTTTAAGGAAGAACCTCCTAACAATGATCTGCCCAAACAGAATGCCAGTACTAAGGCAGCTCATTCTATTTGGGGCAGTAGTACTTAGTACTGCCTTAGAGACTGAGCCCCTGAGTACTGGAAGAGTAGAGCACAGGTTGGGTACCCTCTCCCAGGGACACCATATGCAGAACCCTGACTGGGTAGAAAGATAGCTGTGAGTACCTCTGACTCTTTGATATTTCACTTCTGGATTGGGGAGAATTTTGTGAAAGGAGACCCTTAGGGCTTCATTTCTTTTACTTTTTAGGAAAAACAAATTTTTCATGGAACTATGAGATCTTTGCTTCTGAACCAGTATGGCTTAGAGAAACTATTAAGAGGTAAAATGACCCTGGTGTTTCTGGAATCCCTTAACATTTCTCCTTTTAAGAGCAGAGCTCCAAGTTGTTTGGTTTACACTTAGCCCAGGGGATTTAAACCAGGAATTCCCAACTTTTTTATGAGGCAGAGCCTTTAGATCATGGAAGAGGCAGGAATGTTGGCATTGAGTTTTCCTCACGGGGAATCCTGGCACACCTTGGAGAGAGGGAGGGGGGTTGCAGCTCTGGGAGATATTGTCCGGGGAAGGCTCAGATATCCATCAATGGAAATCGGTCTACTCTTTGAGTATGCAAAAATACTAGCTGATGCTTTGCTGGGGATTCCCATAGAGAGAACTGAGAATGCACTCATTTTTAAAATAGATGCCTGGGGAAACTTTTTAAGTTGTTGATGGGGGTGGCGAGGCACTGCTATATTGGTCACCATGTGGGCATATAATGTAGAAAACATCCATAAGCAAAGGGTTTCCAGGGACATTAACACTAGAGCATACCATGTTTACTCCTCCCTTAGCCTGATCCTGAAATGATCAGTGAAATATGAAACTGTTTCTAAATGTATATCAGTACTGGAAGCTCTGAAGACTTTATGCCAGTGCAGGTGGCAGTCCTCCTACCCTAGTCCAACAACCACTACTCTGGAAGACAGGATTGTCAGGAGCAGAATCACCCAAACAGCCCAACCTTGGAAGGCCAAGGTATGAAGGTGAGGGCAGGCCACTGGATCCTATCAGTGCCTCAAGAAAGGACACAGTCAAGGCCACAATAAGTGACAAACTCAGTCAGCTCTCACTACTGGCATGGCATGAATGTCTGGAAAACACAGGGGAAAAGAGAAAACTCTTTAGTGTGTACCTGTTGTCTCCTGCTTCTACCAAATAGATTTCTTAGATATTTGAAGGCATTATAATTAAACTTCCCCTTTTCTGTCTTTATCTGGGCCCAAAATATTGAATAGGGCCATTGTCTCTGATGGAGCCCACCGTAACTCCCCATCATGCTACACGAAAGCAGATCTTTCTCTGTAAAGATGATGATGCAAGAAATCGCTGGCCACAAGAAAGGATTTTATCATATGAGAAGATTTTTTGAGGAATATAAACAAATGGCTCTATTCCTAAGAAATGAGTAAAGATATTGAATAATCTAATTTATGTCTTCAAAACTGAAGCTGACATTGCATCTATGAAATAAGTAAGAAACGGCTGCAAAGAGATGACAGAATATGGTGACCAATTTTAAATCCATAGTACACTAATGAGCAGAAGATTAGACATCACAGTAAAGTCAGTAATTTGTTTAAATGGCTGGGAAATTTCTCCCAGAACTCAGGACTCAAAAACAAAAATAATGAGAAAAAAAGGGAAAAAGACCCAGGTGATCCAATATACAGGTAATTCCAAAAGGAAAAAAGAAAACCAAGGCTGACACAATCATCAAAGATCATTAAAGAGAGCTTTCTTAAGCTGAAAAAGACTTGTCCTTAAGATTGAAAGCATTAACTTCAGGGTAATTTAACCAGTTCTCATTGCAATGAAAAGGTCTTATAAGCACTGAGGTGAAAATAAAAACAGGTTACAAAGGAATATAGTAAATCTAGCTTCAGTTTTTTTCGTCAACAAGACAGAAGTCAGTGGTGGGAGGCCTATGGGGTCCAAAGCTCATGACCCAAGTTGTTATTCATATGTATAGTCATGTACATGAATGAAACACAGATGTTCTCAGACATATAATATTTCATTACATGGACATACCTCCCACATGCCCTTCCTGGAAAAAATGTCCAAAGAGCCTCTTCAGCTAGATAACAGCTATATCAAGATTAAAAACCCCCAAGTGGGGAGGATATAATTTTTTCAAAGCCAGTGATAATATGTTCAAGCAACTGTTGTCAGTTTAGTTATACTAGTACAGATGTCAAAATTATTGAAATAGAAGTGATATATAAAATAATGAGGATATGAAATCAGATGACAGAAATAAAAACTGGTAACTGGGAAGAAAAAGAAGGAGGAAGTAAGTATGCTATTTTTTTTAATCTAATGACACATCAGATTTCATTTTTAACATTGATAATTGAGAAAATAAACTAAATTTTTTAAAAATTTAAACAATAAAAAGGGTATTTGTATTCTAAATCACCACAAAAGAGGAAAGAAGTCAAAGAAACATGATCTTTTATACAAAAGACAAAAAAGGCAACCTACTAAAAATAATAAGCATTTGTAAAATGTTTTCTAAACACAGGTTATTTCTTCTCAGTGATAAGACGGCAAGTCGTTTGCTTAGGATATTTGTATTTCCAAAATTATACAATGAAGATGCGTAACATTTTAAATAACAAATTATAAAATCCCTTGTGGGGGCTGTTATAAAATGTTATTTGATGTGTAACACATTACCAGTAAAACTAAAGAATGGATGGATGAGAAGTTCCCAGTTACAATAAGATATGATCAGGATATTCTGGGCTAGGATGGTCGTGCTTTTTTTTTTTTTTTCCAGTGGTAACGATTTAAGATTTTGCAGCTGGTGAGATACATGATCATGGCCATTTGGAGAACTGTAGAGCACCCATCTTCTATGTCGAGAAGATTGATATTATAGTAGTTTCCATGCTATCCTGCCTTGGCAATTTCTGCCCAAAGGGTTTTGAGAATACAGTAAATTTACATTAGCTGTATATCATTTCCATCAAAACAGCTGTGCCCTGCCTGCTGTCAATTGTGGCTGCACCACTTTATATTTTGTTTTATAGAGTTGCAGAAGCAGCCTTTGCCCCATCCACACTTCAATTCACAGCTAATCTCACTCCTCACCCCAAAAGACTGTCACTACCCCTGGAGAGGTTTGTGAAGGTCGACCTGATCCTTCCAGGATGGAGAACGGCCAGAACAGACCTTAAGCTGGGGACCAGGGTTTCAAGGTCGAGTCTCCCAATCAGGGACAGATTGACTTCAGATTGTAAGTGCAGGGCATGTTGGTGTTTGGGTGAGGCTCCCAGAAGAGACAGTGAGAGAAAGAGAGAAAAATGATATGATTTATTGTGAGGATTTGTCCCACATCAGAAATTCTCTAACCAATCCCCGAACACCGTTCAGAGTTAACATTTGGCATTAGAGTAACACTCCTGTTGTAACAGATAAACCCTGAATGTTGTTTATTTCCTGCTCATGTCAAAGGCTCTGCAGGTTTTCCTGGCCCTGCAGACTTCTTTCCATGTATTTATTCAAGGACCCAGGCTCCTTCCATCCTGTGGCTCCTCCCTCCTCCATGTCCTGCGGGAGCCTCTCTATTCAGACAGCAGCTGGGAAAAGACAAAGGGAGATCACATAGGGAGGTTCTTATGGACCAAGCCTGGAAGTGGAGCATGTTACCTCTGCTCAGATCCATTGGCCATATCCTGGTCACATGGTCACACCTAACTGCAAGGGAAGCTGGGAAATGTAGTCTGTATTCTGAGAAGAAAAAGGACTCCAGATTTACGGGAAATCCTGGGAGTCTCTGGCCCACACTTTATCTTTTGCATATTTCCTGCCCCCTTAAGAAAGAAGTTTCCCAGCTGAACTCTTTCAATTAAAAGAAAAAAAGTTACATAAGTATAGTGGTTGGAAATGGAATGGATCAAATAGGCTGTACTCTTTTGGGGTTTTGTTGTTGTTTACGGTGGGAGTGTGTGAGGTTTCTGTCCACAGAGACCAAGCCTGAGGTCATCTCTTACCAAACATCTTTCTTCTGAGCATCTTCTGACTTCTCTAAATGATTATTTTGTCTCCTTCCTCCTTATTCCTTTTTAATGATAAAACGTGAGACAGTAACATGATTTTTCTTGCACAGATTAAGTCTAGATTCCTGAAGGCCAGTCTTCTATAACACTACAATTCTGTCTGTGAATAAAACACTAAAAATAAAAATTGGTTAAGCTTTAACTGTGTTTATAATGTTGTGGGGTTTTAATTTTAAATGGTTGTGTTCAAACTCTAAAATGCTCACTTCATGAAATTTGAAAATTTATAAAAGAAAGTAATTGTGCATAATTCGACCACTCTCTTACATCTCAGCTCTTTCCTCTTGAATATAATCTTGATTGAAGGGCTTTTATCTAAGGACAACCAAAATCATCTGTACAAAACTCAGAGGGAATAGGAAAGAGAGTCACATTTTTGTCATGGGACATAGTCCCAACTACAAATTCACTTCTATGTTTTTAAGACTGTTGAGCTTTGCCTTAAATTTACCTCTGTATTCTTCAGTTTTCTCACTTAAAATGAGGAGTATCCTTCTTCCACCCACACTGCATCTGCAAACTACAGATGAAAAAGGCACCTGTCAAAAG